CCTCTTTTAATTTTTTGTTTATTTTATTAGGAATTAGAAGAGGGAATATCTTAGTCCATATTTACTTGGCCATTTTTATCAGAATTCTTCCAGATTTACATTTCTAAAATGAAATATGATTAAGTTTCTCCTTTGATTAAAATCTTTCATGTCCTCCAGTTGCCTTCAGGATAAACTTAGAATTGCCTCGCATGGCTTCTATTTCCATAGTCTCCTCCTTCATCTGTCCTCTGCTTGCTTCTCTGTATTATCTATAGCAGATTTCCCCTTCCATGCCTACCTTCAGTCATGTTGGGCTGTTATATTATTGAATTAACCTGACTCTTGGTTAAAGCTCACATGCTCATCTTCTGCTTTGAATTTTCTCTTCCCTTCTTTCATGTTAATTTCCCTATGCTCTTTGGATCTCATTTGTCCTTAAATTTGGGCAGTTTTCTTTCACCAACTGAAGGATGATCTTTGCCTATTCTATGTATGCCACCACTGTAGCACTAATTGTATCTTCTTCTGATGTATTATTGTTTCTTTATGTGTGTGTCTCATTAGGCTTAGTTTTTGGGGACAGTGAGAAATTCTTATTCACAGTTAAATCTCTAAGACTTTTTGATCCAACAAACATTTTCACATGTGTGTGCACATCACAGTGCCTAGCACAGAGTTTGGGAACAGAACAGATATTTAACATGTGCTTATAGAATAATAAATACCTGTTGATTTGCTAACTTGAGCTCTTCGGTTGATTTGCAGGTTTATGTATGGGGAGCTGACTCATAAAGACACAATTGAAAAGGTGTGGCAAACCTTTGAGAAATATAAGATGAATTCCTATGAAATTCTGATGTACAAGACAAACAGTGAGTAGTCAAACCATTCTCAATCATACCTTTATGTGCTTGTAATAGCAAAATCTCTCCTGCTCCTCTATTATTGTCTTATGTTTTCTTTCTCATTACTTAAAGCCAATGTATATATTTGGATAAATATATGATATATCAGTTACACTTCTCCTCACAGGAACATTTGATGAACTTCTTGTCATTAACCTGTTAAGACTTCTTCACCTATTTTGCTGACAAGAGTTAGTGTTCTTCCTATGGGATTCCTTATGGTGAGATGCTGGCTTAAGGCTCTTGTAGACTTTAAGCTTCTTTAACGGGGGGGGGATGAAGTAGGATAGAAACTGTTCAATTTACCTTTGTTTCTATCTTCCACAGTGCCTGTAGAGCAGCAATAACTTCACTAGGTGCCCAATTAAGTTTTCGAATAAAATTTTGTTCTTCTCATGACCTTAAGAGAGAGTATTAACAATAATGCAGTTTATTTGTATTTGTTTTGGTTACTCTTATTTCCATAAAGTGTGTTAATGAGATTTTTAGTTCATTACCCACTTATAAGTATGAACTTGCTTTTCTCTTAAGAAATTTCTTGTCAATAGAGAGCTATATTAATTTTTATGGAATGTGAATACATGGTCTTAGCAGGCATTCAGAGATGTTAAATAGTGCTTTGTTTCTGTTTTTAAAACACTATTTTGTTTGTAAAGAGTCATGTTTTTATATGTAGGGTTGACTGGTAGGTTTTTGATTCAGTAGAGCATTCCAGAATGGCCCAGATGGGCACAAAGATAAGTGTTAATTTGGTAGTGAATTTAGGTATGAGTGATTCTTCACTCTGGAAAGCAAACAGAACTTTTGCTTTATCTGGAAGGAGCTTGGACTCTTTTGTTCTGTCTGAACTGTTGGAGCAACTGAGAGGACTGTTTGCTTGGTGGTCTGTGCAGATACTGATCTGAGAAATGATCCATGACCTTCAATAAGTTCAAGGGGGCTGTTCCAATGGCTTATATTCTGCTCTAGCTTCCTTGCTCAGCCAGTAGGTCTTGTTTCTGTCCCACTTTTAGCTATAAAAGGAAAGAGGGAAAAGATGGTGAGAGGCTACATACAAGTCCTTCTCCATGGGTGAGCACAGCTCAAGCAACAGCTCTCACCAGGAGCACCTTACAGCAGCCCTCTCATGGGCAGAAGAGGTCTACATGTGTGTCCTGAGCTGAGTAAGCTGGTGTTTTTTTTACACTGCAGCTCCATGTACTGGAGAATGTCACTTTCCCCATGACAGAGAACACTGAATGGTAGGTGTATAACTATGGTTTTCTCCACATATAGAGCTCACTGCTTGTGGCATGAAGGAAGGAAAGCCAAATGAAATAATCCCCAACACCTTGCAGATTGAACTATGCAAAGCTCCATTCCTAAAGAATATACTTGGTGTTACTCATCTGCAAGGCAAGCAGCAGTTCATTCATACACTTGCCAGGAGGAGTGCTGGAAATGTTTTCACTACACAAGACATATATACTAATGCACTTTTTCCTTCTCCCTAGGATGACAGATTAATAGGGCATATCAACATAGAAACAATAGCCTTCAGCAAAATGACTCACCACTATACAGTCAATTAAATACCAAATAAATGATTTTTCCCTCCATATTCTCAGAGAATATGAGACAAAAACCACAAATTCAAATATATTTACAAAAACATACCAAGACATATCCCTGAACTTCTGCATCTATCCAAAATGTCATCTGATGGTGGGTTAAAATATGATCACCTGCAATTGCTTGTCCTGTGTCACCTCTGGTCTCCTTGTGCAAACTCGCTGAAGTTGCCATGACCCAGTGATGATCAAGTACTTTCATTCTCAGGAAAGGGCCCTTCCTGGTGCTTTTCTGGAATTTGTCAATCCACAGATCAGTAGATATCAAGAAAGTATAACTCTGCACTTGTTGAGTCCAAAGAAGTAAGCAGACTGGGACTGTTTGTGGCTCTGGGTGCCTAGCTACCTGGATTCCAAGTTCAGAGAGTTCCATCAACAATGAAGTTGGGTGGGGTCACTACCTTCAAAGAAGTGAAGTGAGGTCACTTCCTTGGCAACCACTTTCTCCTACCAGGTGTTTCCAAGGGCCTCATGGGATGGAGGCTGCACCCATCTTCCTATGGCATTTTCACAAGTTGACAGTTACACCAACGCACCTGGCATCAAGTATCCTGACAGGCCTGGTTTTGTCCATCTTCTCTGGATTGCTTCATACACATCCCCTCATTCTGACCATGGGTTGTTTTTTTTTTTTTTGTCCTGGAAGATGACATTAGGCATCTCAGAGCCTACAGAGCAACCTTAATATTCCCCAAGGATTATTCTAGCATCTACCTTTGAGGTTCTCAGCAGGTGTATAGTCCCCTACATACCAATACTGGAAAAACAACTTTATTCATTAAATTAGATTTAGGTAAGGGAGTAAGGTTAGGATTAACATGCCATTTTTGTTTGGGTTAGGAGTCACTCTAGTGGAAGAATATTGGTATGGGGAAACATGAATACTCATAAGAATTTATAGGTGAAAATATGTATGAAAACATAAAAATATGTAAGGTCTGAAATATAGAAGGGCATTAGGTATGTAATTTAGACACTTATTTTTTAAGTTAGGGGCTGCATGGATGTCCCATAGAAGTCAATATATGATAATATATGAAAATGTACTGAATGTGCATGTCAAAATCCACTGAAACATTCAATTTGTAGGTTTAAAATGTAGATTTAGGAAGAAGTATGCATTTAAGATTAGTATTGATTTTCATTTTCAGTAGGGTTTGCGTTAGATTCTGAATGTGAATGTCAGCATACAGGACTCAAAAGGATGTACAGGAGAAAATATGTTTGAGAACAGATATACATCTTTAAGTTCTGAGATAGGGAAAAGTATCATGTGAGTTATATGATCATAAATGTTTTTAAATTGGGAATAGCGGAATATATATAATATTACAAAGACACAAAATATATATGCAAAAATATCATTGAAATTTCAATATATTTATGAACATAACCATGTATGTTTATAGCCATACATGCTTTTATTTAAGATTAGGTTTTGGTATAAACATCAGTTCAAGGTTAGTTCTGAATATTGTGTCAGTAATTTACTATTATTAAATAAATGTGTGCATTAGGTAACATGAGTATTTATTCTACTATATATGTGAAAATGTTTTGAAATCCTATACATTAGTGTTTTTAGATAGAAAAAGGTGTACTGTGAGTTCTATGAATACCAATTTTAACTAGATGATGCATAAATATAATATTTATATATTCATATAATGAATATATAAAATATTTGATGGAAATTAAACATGGATGAATGAAATTACATTTTAAAATATATATGGAATCTGATATTCATGAAAATTAATTAATTCAAACTATGTATAGGTATAGTGGTAATATCAGGGTTCCTATTACATATTGAGT